CCAGTCATGTGAATCAACCAGCATACTTTAATACACAGATTAACTCCGGTAATAAAATATCCAATGAATCCAGTCATGTGAATCAACCAGCATACTTTAATACACAGATCAACCCCGGTAATAAAATATCCAATGAATACAGTCGTGTGAATCAACCAGCATACTTTAATACACATATTAACTCCGGTAATAAAATATCCAATGAATCCAGTCATGTGAATCAACCAGCATACTTTAATACACAGATTAACTCCGGTAATAAAATATCCAATGAATCCAGTCACGTGAATCAACCAGCATACTTTAATACACAGATCAACCCCGGTAATAAAATATCCAATGAATCCAGTCATGTGAATCAACCAGCATACTTTAATACACAGATTAACCCCGGTAATAAAATATCCAATGAATCCATTCACGTGAATCAACCAGCATACTTCAATACACAGATCAACTCCGGTAAGGAAATATCCAACTCATTTGTACAAATCGTTAATACCAAGAAGTACATATATGTATAATTTCACACGGTGTTTAATCTTAATAAAAAGTATAGAAACACAATAAAATAGTAATGACCGTGTTACTGCGTTTATAAAACGTATTAATTACAGTTACTAATATAGTTCATATGTTTCAAGTTTACGTAAAGCTATCTTGTAGGATTAAACATTTATGGGGATTATCTAGTGTCGGACTGAATAACGTAACCGTTAGCGTATTTGGACTATTAATCTGCGAATTCAGTTCCACGGTTCACACCTACAGGAGTTGGTCAACAATTAGCGATGGGTGCTGTTGACCAGCTGTCTTCCCTCTAGTCTTAAAAGATCAAACGAAGGGATGGCTATGCTTTTGTGTAGCTTTGCCCAAATGATTTTAAATACAACAGTTTGAGTGAATGAAGGATTATTAGATGTAGAACTGAATAAGGTGTTTTATTTATAGAGCTAAGAACTATTATACGTAGAGTTAATCACAATTATTTTTCTAGAACTGAATATAAAATATCGTTTTAAAACTGAATGAGGATTATTATTTTAGAACTGTATGAGGATTATTATTTTAGAACTGTATGAGGATTATTATTTTAAAACTGTATGAGGATTATTATTTTAGAACTGTATGAGGATTATTATTTTAGAACTGTATGAGGATTATTATTTTAGAACTGTATGAGGATTATTATTTTAAAACTGAATGAGGATTATTAT